TTTTATTTCCTTGTTCCTACGTTCCGACCTGAATTTCAGGCCTTCATCAGTGCTGTTCTCATGACAGGTGACGAGAGACAGATCTCTCGTCTAATTAATATAATTAACTTATTTTATCAGTTCTTTCTTTGACTGAACACCCCAACTAATCTCTCTTTAACTATTGTTTTCATCTGTTTACCGTTTCTTTGAGTTTAACTCGATAAATAATACTGAAGCAAAATATATTTATTAATCAACCATATAAAATTAAGACATACAAATTATTGTAGCAATATAGAAGTGTTGTTCGTGACATTCTCAGATACAACCCTGAAATAATGAAGTCCTTCCCAAGAATAGTTATTATATCACTTTGATTTGTTAAATTGTAATATAAATCTGAATAAAAATACCAAAGTGGTGGGTTTCCATCCGCTAAAAATGAATATATGTCGTATGACTGTGAGTTCTTTAAAACTCTATTATTGTCAAATAAACAATATATGATTAATAATATTACGGTAAGTTATTTTTATTTTCTGATCATAAAAAAATAAAATCATAAAAAATCAATTCGAGAAAAAAACGTTCCGCGCATTTGAACTTCTTTCGTAATAAAAAATTTAAGAATCAATTTAAGTCCGTATCACACATAATGAATGAATGATAATAGAATGTGACATTTCTGGTTCTCTGTCACTGGTACGACCGGCGTTACCTATTGTGAAGCGGATAATAGAATTAAATAGATAAGTTATAATTAATAAATATTATCAATAAGAAAGATAAACTGTTTTTAGCAATATATATATATATATATATATATATATATATATATATATATATATATATACACTGACAGGCAAAAAATTCCACCCACTTGAATTTTTCATTTTTTCATCTAAAAATATTTCTGCTTTGGATTGGTCTATTGTTTATGAATGGTCTATTTAATGAATAAATAGGTAATATTTTTGTTTGTTTTCAATTAGGAATGTTAATATAGAGGACAATAACCTTTAATCCGTAATTAAATGAAATGATTCTAGATTCCAATGTTTACTTTCTATGGAATCCAAATGATTCTAGATTCCAATGTTTACTTTCGTGGTGTGGCACTTATTGATGATGGACGTTCCATTAGATATGCAGCTAATGCCATCTGAGTTCCATATGAAACTTTACGAGACGCCGTCAAGCGTTTTCGGGAAACTGGTTCTTACAATAGAAGGTCCAGTTCTGAACGGCCTAGGGTAATAGAACCACGGGATGACCGGTTTTTGACTTTTACGAAACCGGCACCTTACCGTTGTTCAAGCGATTCATCAGCTCGAAGAAGTTCGAGGTGTGCAAATTTCTGAACGTACCGCTCGGAGAAGATTAAATGAGTATGGATTAATGGCTTTTCGTCCAGTAAGAGGACCCGAGTTGACCAGAACTCACAGAGTAACACGGCTGGCTTTTGCTCGAGAACACATTGGACTATGGATGAATGGGATGCTGTACTTTTTACAGATGAGTCAAGATTCGCTCTTCAATCTCCAGACGGGCGTGAAAGGGTGTGGAGAAGAAGAAACGAAAGATATGCAGCCTGTAATTTTTCCTAGAGCCAACCTTTCCAATGTGGTTCCTTAATGGTGTGGGCTGGGATTTCAATGGAGCGCCGCACAGAATTGGTTGTTGTTCGTGGAGGGTCTTTGACGGCCATTCGCTATGTAGATGAGATTATGGAACCTCATGTGTTGCCTATCTTCAACGAAATCGGCGATCGTTCTATTCTAATGCATGATAATGCACGCCCACATGTCGCCCGCATAGTGCAGACATTCCTTCAACAGAACAGTATTGAGGTTTTAGCCTGGCCAGCACGTTCTTCAGATTTGAACCCCATTGAGCATTTATGGGATAACCTCGGAAGACGAATAAGAGCGCGTGTGACACTTCCCGATACACTGAAAGGGCTCTTACACAATCTTGAAAGGGCTCTTCGGGAGGAATGGGCTATCCTCCAGCAGAGGGACATTTCCCGACTGGTGGAAAGTATGCCTAGGCGTCTTCAAGAAGTAGTGAAGGCAAGAGGAGGAAACAAGCGCTACTAAACGATGATGAAATTAATTTCTTATAGAATAATAATGGTTCGTTTTTTAATTTTTATCACATTTTGATTATTAAAGTTAAAAAAGATTATAAAATTCCATAAATACTAAGTATTATCTACAAATACTATGTATTATATAAAATACAGCTTTACAGAAATATTTTAAGATGAAAACATGGAGAAATCAAGTGGGTGAATTTCTTGCCTGACAACACAGGTGGATCTACGGGGGGAGGGGACTTTTGGGGGAATATTTTACATAAAAAAATTAAAAAAACTATCTCTTAAAGTATTCTTGTTCGTGTAATTACATTTAATAGGACTTCAAGAACCACTTAAACACCATTTCATATAGGTAGTTAATTTCTTTATTTTTTTTTTCTAATTAATTATTGTTATATGTATATGAAAAAATATCTTTCGGACCGAAGCCCCCAAAATTAAATCCTGGATCCGCTAGTGCCTATTAATGTATACAAATACACAGTGTGTCCCGTTAATACATGGAAAGTTGTATAGGAGTGATAGCGAACCTCAAGAACTACCAAAAAGTTCATATAAATAATGAGCCAATTGTCAGCAGAAAATTAAGAAATCCAAGTTTTGTGTTTTTTTTAAAGGAAGTCATTCTTTTTGTTGAATCGAAAGCGATATCTAAAGAAATATTTAATTTACTTAACCAACAATTGCTTCACTGCAAACTAGACGAAATTTACTTTAACTGGAAATAAATAGAGTTTGTCCCTGTTAAAAGCATTTATAGAAAACTTTTAAGAGGCTAAAATAAGGTAAGTTTTGCTTTTTAAAAAATCATAAACTACAGGTATCCCACTTTTAGGAAAACTTTCTCGGTTAATAAACTTGAGTATATATTAATTAAGTTGAGGTTTATAAGATAAAAACTTGAGATTCACCTCAAGTTGTGTAAAAAAATATGTCATTTTTTATCCTTTCACCTAATAATACATTTTTTTCAGCAAAAACTATCAAAAAACTTTTATTTACAGTTTACCATGGTCTGGAATGTGTAGTAATAAATAAAATTGCCTAAATACACTTTTTATTTGAAAATAAGTAAGTATAAAATAGTTATTTTTCATGTGAAGTAGTTATGAATCGGTGATTTTATCTCAGATTTTTGTCATTGAAATTGATCAGTATTTAAAAGTGACAAACTCAATGTTTCTAGTCCTAAAGTAAAATAAAGAAACCAGCTGATTGCTTTAATTATGTGCACGGAAACGTAAATTGTAGGACTAGAAACATTTATTTTGTGATTTATAAATACGCTAAATTCCTGTAATAAACATCTGGGTGGAATCACAGTTTCATAAACAGTATACCTGAAAATAAATACAAATTATATATTAAGGCAATTATGTTTATATCCCAGATCATGTAAAAACCAGAAATAAAAGCTTTGGAACAAACAATTGTAGTCATTTTTGCTGAATACAAGGTACTTTTACTTGACAAGATAAAATTCACTCAAGCCCAAGGGCTGGCTGATCTAGATAGGGATACCATTTTAGGCATTGTGTAAATTTATTGAATAATCAAAAATAGATTTTTAAAAATAAATTAATAAACAATAGTAATGAGCATCTATATCTCCATTATATTTTAATACAATAGGGGCAGTATAGGACGTCAATGAGAGTCTTTGGCCGACTTAAAAAAAATATATATTCATATAATTTTTTTATACAATTACACAACCAGATGAGTCTCAATTTGCGCTCCAGGACTTGATGCTATAGATGCAGCGATCCTAAAGAACAGTATTTCATATATTGAAGAGCGACTTTTAGGAATCTTTAATGATTGTTTAGATAGGGTACTTCCCAAGGAAATGGAAGATCGCTGATTTGAGACTCCTCTACAAGGGAGGAGGCAGGGCTAAACAACTTCCTAAGTCATATAGACCAATTTGTCTCCTCTCTGTGATGAGTCAGGTCCTGGAGAACCTCATGATGACCAGGTTACGGCCAGTTCTCAATCAAGCAAGCCATCCACGGCAATAAGGCTCTACCAGAGGCAGAGGAACCGCTGATGCTCTGCTGAGAGTTCGCAGAGATGTTGAAGAAAGGACGGAGCGATACGTCATGTTGCTCCTTTTTGATATATCCTCCGCCTTTGATAGTTTATGGTGGCCCTGCGTACTACAGCAGCTGCAAAAATATGACGCTCCCAGCAACCTATATGCCCTCGTAAGGAGCTATCTTTAGGACAGGCGAGTGAAGATCAAAGGCAGCTATTACGAGGTAGAAGCTTCCGTAGAGAGGGGATGCCCTCAGGGATCAGTACTTGGTCCTGCTCTATGGAAGCTCTATGAACAGCGACAGCGAAAAAGGTTGGCGTCGATCCAGAGGATGGCCCTGTTGCGTTTCACCAGAGCATTTAGGACAACGTCACATGTTATGCAGTCATGCATAAGAGCCCACTATTGCAAACGCCCGTATGGCCCATCAGGCAAGGTATGGTGGAATGTAAATAAGTAAATAGATGAGTCTTATTTTTTTTACTAAGAAACTTCAACTTAATTATTAGAGACCAAATCATATTAAACGAAGAAGTATGGTATCTATAGTACAGTTGGATGATGAATTAATTATTATTCATAAAAAAAAAAATATATATAATAATTATTTTCGAATATTTTTCATGTGAAGTGATTATTAAACTGTGTTTTTCACCTAACTCTCTAATACAGGAATTTATCCGTATTTATAAGTGTCAAACTAAATACTCCTAATCTTAATATTTTCATCTTAATATTCCATTTTAAATCTGCTGATTGCTTCAACTGTAACCAGGATTAGGTTTATTTAATTGTAAATTGTAAATTTTAGGATTAGGAACATTTAATTTGTCACTTATAAATACAGATTAATTCCTGTAATTATAATTGATAAACGAATTATAAAAGGCACCTTCAGGAGGTCTAATACGGCAGCTGAACTGAACTGTTACAGTACCTACGAGCATCTCTGTATTCCCGATTCATGAAATAATTCGGCATAATTATATGATAGGCTTTGTATTATTAGAACTCTCGAAAGTCTCATTTATCACATGAATGAATTTAATCACAGTTTTTTAAAAGAAAATTTTCTCTACCTTACGATGATGTACTTAGAATTTAATTATCTTGAAATTATGTTTGAGCAATTCTTTCTTGTTCGATAAAAAACGTGACCATCTTAAGAAAAACACATTGGTCATAACTCCATTTCGGGATCTGCCCATGCAACAAATGAACTTTCTTGTTGGAATTTTTTTTTAGAATCGTTCCACAGAGTTTTCCACTGAATGGATGCTTGGTTTGTCCCAACAATTTTCCAACTTTTTAAAGGTATGTGAAAATGGGGAAGTAGTGTAAAAATTTTCCGAATTTACATTTGCTTTTCCTCTTTTATGAATTTATTAATTTTTATGAATATATTAATTTTTTCATACACTTTTCCTTTTTTATTTCGTGAATGAAGGATCAGTTATCAGTTATCACCCTCTCAACAATTGTCCGCCTATGTAGAGTTAGGCGAAAATGGGGAAATGGTGTAAAAAATTTTCATTCGCTTTTATCTCGTAAATGGATGCTCGGTTTTTCACCGTCCCAACAATTTTCCAACTGTTTAAAAGTAGGTGATAGTAGTGTAAAAATTTTCCGAATTTACATTTGCTTTTCCTCTTTTATCTCGTGAATAGATTCTATGTTTTTCACAGTTCCAACAATTTTCCAACTGTTTAGAGGTAGGCCAATGGAAACAGGATTGGTGCAAATTTTCATTCACTTTTCCTCTTTTATCTCGGGAATAAAGGATCGGTTTCACCGTTCCAACTATTTTCCGACTATGCAGTTAAACACTTATATCGAAAAAAATCCTTAAAGTTGAAAATATATCGAAGATCAAAGGACCCATATGTAGCATATTCTAAATTTAATATTTTGGGTGTTTTAGGGAAATGTATATTAGTTCATATTTTCTGTTGCAATTTAATTGTCCAAATCATATTGTTTTAAAAAAGAAAATTTGTTTTTATTAGTGAGTATGTAAACTAGTTTTTGTTTGAGTTAATAAATGAATTAAAACATTTATTTTGATTTATATGTTAAGAATATAATACCATATATCGAAGAAATTCGAAAAGCATCAGAAACGTAATACACAATTGTGCAATCTTAAATCCGACAGTATTTTCATAAATATCACCGAAAACATATTTGTGGACCATAATATCGAAAAAATTATCAACGTTAAAAAAAAAATATTACACGTTTTTATCTTGAATAACGAATAACAGAAAATACAGGTTATCTGTAAATAACCAATAACAAATAATTATCTGCCCAAAGATCATCGAATATAACGAATAAAAATGTATCTATTATTCGTTTATCTAGATATAATTTCGAATAACGCACAGTACTGAATGGAAGCAATGGGATACTTACCAAATATTCATATTTGAGTTTATTTTATACTTTTATTATATTTGGATAATATGATGAATATAGGAGTTTATGTTATATTAGCAAAGCATACCTTTGCTTGCATACAAGTCCAATTAGGTGTAATGGATAGGTTAAATATTTAAAATTTTTCTAAAATGACAATTTCATCTATCTTATTTTTCATTTAATTTTATGCTTCATCACTTCATAAAAGCTCATGCAGCTAACTATTAATTTTTCTTATAGCTCAAACCAAAATTTATTTTTTACGATAAATGATTTTTTTTTAAATACTGCGATTATAAATTATGTTAATGCTTTTTATTCAATAATAAGTTTTCTTCATCTAAACTTTGATTGATTTAAAAAAATGTTTTTTATTCTAAGGGATAGAGAGGTGATGGGGCGTGAGAGGGCTGTGACGCAAGTACACCCCTCCCCGGGCAGCCTCCTATATAACAGCTCATTCAGTCACCTCTCCATTCTAGTGTTCGTCCAAGATGAAGACCGTAAGTAGGCACCCAAATTTAAATTTTTTAGCCTAAATTTATATATATATATATATATATATATATATATATATATATATATATATATATGACCTTATTATCAGAAATTAGGCTGATAACTTTATAGACTGATAGTCTGATAATATAAATATTAACAAAAGAAAAAAACACGTTTAAATTATTAAATTAATTGACTTTGAATACAATTTTTTTTTTCTCAAGTTTGTTATGGAATCAAAATCTTTTTCAATTTAAAATCTCCTGATTATTCACATTAAAAAAAAAAGTTGAATTTGTAAAGAAAAAGGAATTGATATTGAAAATATTATATTTTATTACAAACAGAATAATATTAGTGGTAATATTTATTTATTAAATAAGTAAACAAATTTTATTTTTTCCTTGAAGCCGTCTTATACGAGTACCTATTTGCACCACCTGTTATTCAATCTTATTTATACTTTAGTTCATTTAACGTTCTCGTGTTTGTTTATTTATTTGAATTAGAGCGAAAATAAATGTTTCCAGGTAAAATAATAATATAAACGCCAACTTCTTATCTAGGTAGCCAAAATCAAAATTTTAAAACAATGAAAACGAAGATTTAATATTTAATGTAAATGTTTTGTTTTTATTTTGGTTTAAGGTATTTTTTAAAACAAATAACTACAAATATTTTTCTTATAATAATAAAATAACTACATTTAATTCATGTTCAAAACAATTGTTAAAACCAAATTTGAGAGCATGTCCAGTAACAGGAGAGATTATTACATACCTAGAAATTGGTCGGATATTTGAACAGACAGAAATAATTTTAAATATTATTTAATTGCCCTTGGACGGATCATGGCAGTCAAAATGATATCGAATTTCTCTTTAACAAAGAGTTAAAAAGTAAAAAAAAATATTTATTTCGGAATATCACGAACCTTTTTTAAATCATAGTCTTTGTAAAAATTCGATTTATGGTACTTAGGGGGGGGGGACAACTAGTCCGGCAAGAGGGCTCTATCGTGGTTAATTCACATCGTTTCTTTGTTACCACTTGTGCTAGGTGGATGAATGAAACGCTGAAAATATTATTGTGACGAATTCGAATCCACTGCTTTTATTCAGTTGGAGGATTTCTACCCTGAAGACGTTCTTATGGGAAATCCCAAGGATCAAATGTTGTTTATCAGGAATCAGAGATCTCTACTTTACGTCTAGGTAACATGAGCAGTCGAAAACAAAGATTAGAAGAATTGAATCGGCGATAAAAGACAATACGACTGTGTTGTTCACATCTACTTTGAATAGCAGCTTATTACAAAGAGGATGAAATGCTGAAAATTTCTCTCGCTTACAGTATGAAGATCCAACATTTACTTTCTGAGATATTTTAATTCAAATGCAAAAAGACTTCAACGAGCCGACTTTACCCGAATATATGATAGGATTCTCTAACTGAAATCTATTTATTAAAAAAATTATTGATTTTATATATTCCAATATTAAAAGAAAATGTTTTTATAGGCATCACTTAACAAAATCGTCATTATTAAATTGGTATAGAGCTGTTATAAATAATAATATTAATATTAATAATAATTATATGTATATTTTTTTTTTTTGTAACCACTCTATACAAATTTAATAATTATTTGATGCCTTTAAGGAAATCAACAGTCAATAACAAAAAAAAGTTATAGTTAGTTTTTTTATCCTTTGTTTTACGTCTTGATACACAGTATCGGATTCAATAGTTACAAAAAGAAAGCAAAATAAATCAATTCCTAGTGCTTATCAAGCATACACTCGTGTTTTTTATGTTAATAAGAATATAAAATAGTTTTATACTGACAACTGTAAATGATGGAAGAATTTATTGTTAAAATTTCCTTTAATATAAATTGTGATGATTCATCATAATACATACTTCATTCAAGCTAGTATTTCCATTGTTAAGACATATAAAATATCCAATAATTTTATAATGATAAATTATCCGCCTAATATTAATGCTACCAGATCATTTAAAGGCATGCTACACCAGTTAAATAACCTATATTAGAGAATGTTTATGTATTTTTGCTAATACAGTACAGTTTCTTTGTTTTCCTTTTTTTAGATATTTTATTTTGGTCAGAATAGCAAATTTACATTCTCGTTTAACCTTGTGGACATCAAGAAACAAATTGGACTCCATGTCTATCAGAAGTCAAATCCACACGGCGAGCAAATCACAGACTACTCCTATTCGATTTTGATGTAATTTTTAGGGGTTATGCGGGTTGGTGTCTTGATCGTCCTGTATCAATTTGTTTTAGTCTAATGCCATACTTTCGCTCGCGGATGGTAAAACGTATTATGATGTAATATAAAACGTATGTATAAAAAATTTCTAGTTTTATTAGCCTCAAAGTTGGATGAAAGTTTGGGTTTCGTAAAAAATGATCCAGTATCAATTTTATTAAATACCACCTCTAATGCTTAAACGTCTTTATGTCGATACGCTTATATTTAAAAAAAGGCTAATTAAAATCGACCCAAAGTTAGAAGAAATTTCGGATGATGTAGATGTATAATCTGGATTCAATTTATTCATTAATTTTATTTATTAAAATTGAATGTTAGGAATATAATGGCTGTGAATTGTGGCAGAAAACGGGGATGACCATTCCTCCCAAGGTCGATGGTGGATGAATCTCCCTCCTCCTCCCAAGATAGTTTATTGTTCTTCTCTTCTTAAAAACAGTAATATCTAAAGTAGAGTTTTAGAAATCGTAGGTCATATAAAATTACATTCTCATTAGTCTTTCCTATGCTTTCTTTTTGTACCATGGATTGAAATTTTTATTTCAAAAATTCATAACTCCCTCGAAATGTGCCCCTCTCAAAAATTCAAAAACCAATCAAAATATGCCCCCCTCAAAAATTTTGATGGCGCATCATAAAACCACTTTCTGGGCACACTTGGTGGGAAATAACAATCGGCAGTGGGAGGCTGTGCAAGTTTTTGAAATTAACGCTATTTATTAGACGAGTTTTTATTGGATTATAAAACCAAGTTATAAATAAAATTATAATCTACATAATTTATATGGGCATTTTATTATTTGCTGAGTAAAATTGATAAACGGGCTATACTTATTTACATGGTTTGGAAATGTTTTTGTAAATATCTAAAACACTTAAAAACACATTGCTTTTGTTTTTACTGTTTTTTTTGTAAGAAAATCGCTAAAACATGTTAAGTATAAGTTTTTAAATAGCAGAAAAAAATTATAGTAGTCTGAATTAATAATGATATGAATTAGGATAATTGAACACATCACTGGTTATTAATCACCTGTTAATTGTTATTTGCCATGGAAAATTAAAAAAAAATTCAAGATTGGCTCACAGAGTTTCTTTTCTTCATTAAAATATATACTTTCTTTATAGTATATACATCACTTCTTGGACTAATAAAAGTTTATCCTAAGGAAAACGTTCAAGCTTTGTTATCAATGGTATTTTGGAGTTGTAGTTGTAGAAATGTAAGACAAGTTTGGAAAGACTTACTACGGTATAATTGCTGGTTTTCATAAAATCGTCATTTTCATCGTGGTCGCTTTTTAAAGAAGTTGCACTAATTTCGTTATCTATTAATATTAATTGAAGGCAAAAGGGATTACTACTTAAATTGAAGAATTAATTGATCACCGTAGAACACTAGCATATCCAGGATTTAATTTTGGAAGGGGGAGGTGTTTCAGCCCGAAAGCTTTTTTTTCATACAAATAACGATAAATACTATGGAAAAAAATAACGAAACTAACTGCCTATATCAAATGGTGTTTAAGTGATTCCTAAAGTCCTTTTAGATATAATTAAGAGTTATTTAAGTAATAGTTTAAGAGTTTTAATATTTCTTCCATAAAACATGGTTATATTTTACCATTTGGGAGGGGGGAGGGGGAGAAGCGGCTTCAGTATTTATATATGCGTGTTTATTTTCTAAAGCTACTAGTCCGTGGTACAGACCCCTTTTTATCGAATTATTAACATCCCCCTGAAACTTCGTAAATAGTTTCATCTCATCATAACCTACAACTATTTTATTTACGAAAACTCTTGGAATTGGGGCGTTTTTAATCTGAAGGCGGGCAAACTTTGTCTACTTAATTAGGTACTAAAAACTCGTAAATACCCATTTGCTTTCTACTTGGATCGTAAGATAAATTGATCACAAAATCGATAACAAAGGTGCCCTACAAAAATATTGGACAGTTTGTCCTATATAACCTTGTTATTTTGATAATTTGGGGGTGTAGGTAACGCCAAACGGCTCAATATTTTTGAAGACCACCTTTTTTTTTGAGTTTGTGATCAAATTATCTTACGATCCAAGTAGAAAGCGAATGTGTACTTACGATGTTTTAGTACCTAATTAAACAGACAAAGTTTGCAACCCTCCAGATTGAAAACGCTCTAATTCTAAGAGTTTTCGTATAATAGTTATAGGTTACGATGAGATGAAACTATTACGAAGTACCACGAACTATAAATTGGATTGCTATAACTATTCGGAACATAAATCCTCAATTTTACATTACTCTAAACTGTAAAGGTAGTATTCTCCTTAATTTAAAGGAAGTATTTTACAAGCTCAGTGTTATACATACGTCTGTTCCTGAAATATGCTTTACTTAAATAAAACTATTTTTAATTCAGAAATGTTTTGTAACTTTTCAAAATGTAAAGAATTGATTCTTACTATAATCAACCTCACCATGCCAATATCGTTAAGTAAACATATTCATTTTGGCTTCATCAAGTTCATCTCTGCCAATAAATTAAATAATTAGTTTAGTATAGTTTAATTTTTTCGCCAATATATTTTAAAGTTATTTATTTCTACCACATTTTTCTTCACTGACTTAGGTAAGATTTTTTCTCTCCAGAAATTAGGAAACAGGGAACATAAAAGTGCAATAAACAGAAGTGCCTGATGTAACGCCAATTGTAATCCTATCTAACGCAATGTACTAAAAAGACATTTGCATATGATTGCGGTTTTAAACAATTTATTTATAGATTTTTTTCAACATGAGTTGTTTTAGAAAGTTGTCTTGGGTTGATAAATATGTTATTTCTCATTAAAATATATATAAAATTGGTTTAGTGATGGTTGACTATGTTACAAAGATGAAAATAATGTTTTTCGCTTACCCTGCGATATGACATAAACGATTCACTCGTTCGATACCCTTTGAGCGTGCAGTCCTGATGAAGGCCTGAAACTTGGGCTGAAACGTCGGCACAATAAAAATAAATATAATTTGTTTACTTTTGCTTTGTACTTTCATTGACTGAACATGCCCAACCAACTTCTCTTCAATATTTTCAATATATTGAAAGAGTGTAGAGTTCAGAAAGCGGAAGAATTCATTGAATTACTTAGAACTGTTTAAATTCACCTGTAGACTATAACCGATAGCTAACAGCTCAACTTTGAATACTGTTAGTGTTACCAACTTTTTTCTCTACAATTTGTTTTTATATCCCGTACCGTTACAAAGATATTGCACCGTATATTTCAAAATCACAACCAGTGGCTATCTTGTAATATTGCTTAGTAAAGGATAAAACAAAATATGAATTCCAACAAATATTAATACAACAAATGTATTCGAGCTGTAGATATTGAACACTTTGTTTATATATATATATATATATATATATATATATATATATATATATATATATATATATATATATATATATATATATATATATGTATATATATTTAACGTATATAAAATTTCCAGTTTTCTCTCAATAGAGATGTTTAAACATTTAGATGTTGATGTTCAATAGTAGGTCCGATATAGTTTCTATTATGTGATGTATCAAGTTGGTCACTTCATCATATTAGATCCTCCAATGCATTACCTAATTTTCTTGGGTCCCCTTGGAAGAGCACTAAGACTCTTGTTCCTTTCACCCACGTGGAAGATCGACGTTACGTAACTTAATGGTAGACCCTTACGTGAGACTAAGTACCTACGAAGGATAATAAGGACTTGGGGCTTCGTGTTCATGTCATTTCATCTTCCATCGACATCTTGTTTGGATCCCGGTAAAAGAGCGTTGAGTAACTGACTCTCATCATACCTATATAAATATTGAGGCCTCCGGCCACTTCTACTTCCACTTAGTGGTGAACCTAAAATTTACTTGATGTCATGTATTTATGTTACCATAAGGTTGCTATTGATGTCGTAAATCGAGAACGATTACTATTACATGATCTAATAGAGCTGTTGTATTTGAAATAGGACATTGAGATCTTTAATTGAATATAGGACTTAATTAGGACATCGCTAAGAGAATAAGGGCATATTATTTCGTCTTTAAATTTCAAAGAAGGCATCAGTATACAACTGTCCTCCGACTGAACACTTTCTATCATCCTAGCTGCCAACTGACTGGTTCAGTCAAGTCCTTCAGTGGTAATTATCGTTTATGAAGTGTTTAGCGGAGAAATTTGCAACAGAAGAACCCATTAATTAACCCAATTTGCACGATTTCTGTTCTGTTTCGTAATATAATTGATCTGTTACATTATTTCCGCACCTGGGGGAAAATAAATATCAAATTTTTCGTTCATTTCACTACTCTTTAAATTATAAACTGTAAAGCGTTTTAAGGATCACATGTTTGTTTTCAAAAAAGTTATAGGATTTTAATTTTGCTTTTTTATAAATACATCAGAATGATAATTGATGGCTGTCTGTATACTACAGGTTTGTAGATGTTTTTCCAATCAAATATATAACTCTCTTCAATCGTATTACGGCACTCTTTGAAATTCACCATCCTAGTTCATTTATCATTAGATATACCATCCAAACTATGTATATCAACTAAACTTTTTTGTAACTGATAATCTTCCAACAAGTGCGTTGAAGTCACCCCTAACTAATTTGATTACGTGAAAATAGCACTCCTAGATTGAATTTTTGAGGTTATTATACATAAGATTTTTTTTTTTTCCTACCCCCGAGGAATTGAATGATTACAAAATACAATATATATATATATATATATATATATATATATATATTATATATATATATATATATATATATATATAAATGTATATATACATAAATTTTCAATTTCCTTTGATTGCCCAAAGGCATTTTAAGGTAAGAGGGCTATGTACGCTGTATGCGTTCTTTGCATCTGTGGCCATAGGCCTTTTATTATACAAAAGAAACATTAATATATAAATTGTATATATAACAGTAATAAATAAATTATCGGGTATCTATAAACAATGGATGTTCCATGAGACTAATTTAAATTACATAAGAAAATCGCCCCTATTTAGTATTGCCCAAATGCTAGACCGAGACGAGTCTAATTAGAAGAGTTCAATGCAAAAGTATATTGGTTACACCAATTCTTTACATGAAGTAACTAAAATTGTCAGGTATTAGTAACTATTTGGCCTCAATTTTTATTCAAAAAGTCGATTTTTTTTTACCAGTCTTGGTCTTGGTCTTGCAACAGATAGGCGGAGTTGGGCAACACTACCCCTATTGTATGGATCACCATATAGCAGAGATGATGGACAAATGCTACTCTGAGTACTGAGTACCACGTATGTTACTCAAATACTCACCTTTTTTATAAGTAACAAAAATTTAATTACTACTCCGTTGGACGTCAAAAGATTAACTGAAGTAGTGATTGAATTCTCAATGGTGATTCAATTTGAGTAAAATTCTTGGTACTCGATACTCAGAGTAGCATTTACCCGTCTCTGCCATACAGCAATGGCGATTCTTGACAGCTAATGTGACAGCACAGATTTTATCAAATGTAAGCAATCCAGTCCCTCCTCTTAAACCCTGATGTAGAGTACCAGGGGTTGAATGCAACGGGGAAGGATAAAAGATAAATAATGAGAGGGTATAGGTATAACTTAATATTAATTAATGGCTGTTTAATATTGTAGAATAATATAGAGTCCTGAAAACGAGGCACAACTTCATAACATTATAAATAAATATTGTAATATTAATTATGGATATATTATAACAATATTTAACATATCAAACCTCTTATATTTGTAAAAATATTTAATTAGCTGTTTTTATGTTAAAATTACTCATAAAATATTTCGTAATTAACGAAACTATTATTAATTTATAATAATTATTTTTAATTTATTATAAGGCTGGTAATGAAAACTTCCATTATTATAGGCCTAAGTTATATTTCATATAAGATTCATGCTAACGTTTTGGGATTGTATTCCATCATTTGAGCTTTTTCTTGTATTATAATTCTGTTTCGATTTCTTATGTGTGCTCCATTTTTCAGATTTATGATTTTGTCATTAGGTTTATGATTAATTTCATTTGATTCATTTCAGAAGATATATTATAGCTGGGACTACACATTACTTAACTAACAATTGGTCAGCTTTAACAGCCTGATACTTGTTAATTATTACAATATATCCAGCTATGAGGTATGAAAATATTGTAAATAATAAATCTGACAAATGGAGTCATATCAATCACACATATCAAATTGAAACCGATTTATAATGCAAGAAAAAGCTCTGAGGACCGGATACAATCCCGAAATGTTAGCATAAATATTATGTGAAATATAACATAAACATATAATAATGGAAGTTTTCATTTCTAACCTTATAATAAATTAGATAGACTTCGCTACTACAAAAAGAAAATATATTTTTAATTGTTTAATTTGTTCTTATTGGACTGCAGTTCAATATTGCAATCTAATAACAGTTTGATAATAGTATGAAATGTAACTATCCTAGTTGTGTTATCATAACTTTTAAGACCTTAGCTTAATTTGTATTATCTCAATTAAATTCATTCAACAGATTAATTCAAGAGATAAGTGACATAACAAAATATTACTCATATAATTCCTCTAACATTTAGATTCTTATGTTTGATTGCATTATATAAAAGAACACAAATAATTATTTTTCCTTTCTGTTTAGGCGGCCATAGTTACTTGCATGATTGGGCTTGCAGCAGCTCTGCCATACCCTCAGCAGCAGCAGCAGCAGTTGGAACCTAGGGCTTCCGGTCCGACCACCCCTCCAGTCCCCATAGTGTCCTACGACAATCATCTAAATTATGATGGTTCCTATACTTACAGGTAAAAAAATATTTGAATTAAAAAAAACAAACTATTTCAGATATAGGGAAATACTGTCCATCCTTAGAGAATCATCTTCCATATCTACTTAATCACCTATAGGTTGTTAGGAAATATTAGCACTACGAATATTTTACGAATATTGAACTTGGCTTAATAGCAGCTCAACTCAAGATTTTTGATGTTGACATTCATGGACATATGAAATGAAATCTACTTGCCAGGAGATATAATGTGTAATAAAAGACACCCGAATGTTACACCAACTTTAAATATTCTTATCATAAAATGTAATTTTCTTAAGAATCTACAAATAAATAAGTAGATATAGTAGAAGATTCCATTATGGAGTGGATTTCCCTATCTTTAGTCTGGTGTTTCTTTTATTAATCAAATTTAATTTTTTCATTTAATATTTTTAGTTTTTCAATTTTTTAGTTTGTATATAGGTATGACTGAATTTTAATTTTTAATTTACTCATCATTAGGTTATTTTATTTTTTACTGTACATAATTGTTTGATTATTATTTTACTTTTGTTAATTTTGTATTTTCTGTATATGTGGTGTGAATGTGTTAATATATCACTATAATTAATGTGCTAGTGACAGATTATTATATTTCTAAATAAATAAAAAAGTTTTTCAAGTATTGACAATTTATATTCAGCACGATATCGTCGGCACCAGGTTAAAGTAACGAATGTGCGACGTTGGGCAGGCTATCATTCGTTACTTTAATATGGCGCCAACGACATGCTGAGGACTTTCCACATGGTATAATATGATACCAATACAATTTTGGGAACACTTAAGATATAATAAACATATTTTCAATATTTCAAGTTCAAGTTATTTTAAATCATTAATCGATATCTCACTGACCTATTTGAACCATTAAATATAAATATTGGTGGAGTCGTTCACTCAATAATAAGTCGTTACGTATCTCTAAACGGACTGGTTTAACACATTTTATTGAATCACGTGTCAGTGTTTCAGCTCAAAATGTTTCAAAGCACTCAACGGATCCCACCGAATAATTTAAGATATTAAAATTGATATTGGTCCAATCCAATTGTTAGCTCAATTGTTAGCATTGCCATAGTCGGGTAATAAAATATATACTTTTTTTTGCAAATATGAATTTATCTGTAAGCTTTAACACCTATATTTTTAATAATTTCTGGGGGAATCATTCCCACAATGATACATGACCATGTAGGAACAGAATAACTTCTATTACTTTTTATTTATATTTTTGCCTCCTGAGTTCTCAGGTCAAATATCGGGAACTAAGTAATTTTACATTTGAGAAATATAAAGAATTTTTATTTTTACGGGATTTCGTTTCATTTCGTATAAACCATAATCATTTACATTAAAGGTCTTTGTTAAATTTAGGTGTCCTCATTTACATCTATATTCGTCACCATAATCATTGCCATTTCTGCTACTAACAACATATTTTATTTTATTCGTATGTTTTTTCGACACTGAACTCGTTGCATTCAACGCAATAGTTTTTTATTACGCAAACGTCGCAATAGTTTCTTTATCATCAACTGACTGTATCGAATCCAGACCGAATAGCAACCTTAAGGTTAAAACATTATTAAATTTTTTATGGTACTAGTCACCTGTCTAATGACTTATAGTCCTAAAAATAATTGTGAATGATTTTCTATTAATGATATGTAAATTTAATATTCATAAAAAAAAAAAAAAAAAGATTATATCATACGGTGGTACAAACGTGACATGAAATTTAAATATATTGCACGAAAGATATTAGTGTAGGTATCTAATTAATTTTTAAAATGCCAATGTGCACTATTTATTGAGACGAAATAGAAATGACATATGTTGTTCGAAAAATGATTTATTTTTTTACAATTCATTCAAATTTAAATATTTAATTATGAGTAGTATTGAAATGAAAATAATAGTTGTCAATATTATTATATAATTTCATTTTTATAATGTTGGAATGACAGTGACAGAAATTAACCAATTGATCACGTCAGTCTTTCTTTTCTTTTTAATTTTTATAAAAAAAGAAACGTTTTATTTTGAATTTCTAACATCTTAAAGTAAACTTAGGTAATATTGTTAGTATATATATTTATAATAATTTTGATGTTGTACCTAATTTAGTATAGATTTTTGTATTTTTTAAAATTCGATTAGACTTAATGTAAAGTTCATAGTACACAATGCGATTTTTTAAAAGAAAAAAAAATATACTTGTTTTATTACAAGAGAGGGATATGTATCAGTGGTAAGGCATGGTGCTTCTATTCTTAAGGGACCAGATTCGAGTCTGATTGCGGAGACATATTCATTGTTATCAGTCGCAAATCGATCCTCCTGAAACACACCCAGATATATATAAAGTTAGCACCCCTATTTAATTAGTTGATTATCGGGAAAAAAACTTGCGGTTGAGCGTGACATTGTGCGAATCATCTTCCTGCAACCCATTTGGTATTTCAAACAATACTTCTTTACAAAGTGTTGCACTCTATAGGTCTATAGCAGAGATGACCAAATACTACTCTGTGTATCGAGCACTAAGTGTATTAGTCAAATTCTATCACTATTGAAAATTCAATCACTATTTCAGTTAATCGTTTGACATCAAATGAAGTAGTAATTAAATTCTTTGGTACTCAAAAAAGGTCAGTATTTGAGTAAAACACCAGGTACTCGGTACTCAGAGTAGTATTTGTCTATCTCTGGTATACAGTAGCTTACTGATGGATTACATCGAGATATATACCCTACCCATCTTAAACTCATTGCCTTCATATCATGAGGTATTCATTAACCACTGAATCAAGCAGTCCTTTCTTACAGGTTCCTTTCCATCATGCATGAGTACTCTGAACCCTTATCGCATTAATTTTCTCTAAGTCTTTTTGTACTTCTTTCTAGGAGGGTAGTGCCTAAGTCTCACAGGCTTTTATTAGAACTGGCTTTATCCAACCATTCTACAGCCTTAAGTTGAGTTTTACGTATCCAATCCTTACAATCCAAAATCCTTCGTAAAATCCTCAACGCTCCTTACTTTGTCACAAATAAAATCATCCCTAAAGACCTTAATGTTCCATATGTTTCCGATCTGGCCCAATCCAGATATCTATCCTTCCATAACAAACTGTTCTTGGAGAAAATTCTGAGAAGTAATGAATGTTTGAGTTATATATAGGCCAGAAAAAAAAATGCTCAGAGAAAATCAAGCATTAAATTTTGCAATTTTCGATTTATATAAAAATTCTTATTTAAGAGTTTGCTAGGATACTAAAAACGAATCTAACTTGTTTTTTATAACAAAAATTTATTTGGCCTACTTTACTGGAAGCGAATTTTTTTTTTTTGTAATTTATGATGCATTATAACTCATTTAGTACAATCGTCATTATTTTTTCTAGCACAAAAAAAAAATGATTCGATTAGTATATAATACCCTATGACGCTTCCCCTTATTAGTCTCAGTCCCTAAATTTATATTTTTACCAATGTATAAATTCAAACCCTTGTCTTAGTCAACAACCTCATTTCTCAGTTGAGTGGACGCTGAAAGTGTCTTAAAAATGAAATATAAATTAAATACATGGGACTATTTAGAATAAAATATAATATTTACTCTAAAAGATTGATGGAAAGATGGTCCCGTGATCTCCTAATGTAGACATATTAATAGAGTGCTGCTAGGGGGTAGTTCTCAACAAGTGTTTTCATGTCATTATATCCATTTGTACAAATTTACTAGATGTATTTTTTTTATTACAGGTGCAAATATCATGAATAAATAAAATTGAAGTTAGTAAGTACGAAAAAAGGTATTTAATAAGCATTTTATTCCTAAGATTATATGATGTTAATTGACATTTAATAACCTCAAATAATTATGACCTTGGATGAATTTTCCCTTTGTGAAATCATAAAATTGTGAACTTAGCGAAGTTATATACCATAAATGCACTTACGGTGTTTTTGAATTGATGGATAAGGCCAAAATTTACTAAAATATATTTGAAAGTAATCAAGATCAAAAATGATATAGATGACTTAATGACTTTTTGCAAAAACCGATGATATGTTTAGTATAAATGATATGCTCGCACATCTGATTAAGAAGAATTGTAATCTTATTTTATTGCATAACTATACTTTACAATATGATCACAGAATTATTGTTTTTTTTTCTATTTTTAGTTTCGAAGGAGGTGATGGTACAAAAGCAGTTCAACAGGGTTCGCTGAAGACTATCGGAAACGAAGCCGGAGAGGTCTCTCAAGGTTCCTACTCATACGTAGGTGATGATGGCAGGACATACACCGTAGAATACGTGGCAGATGAGAACGGATATCATGCAGTCGGTGATCACCTTCCACAACCTCCACCCATTCCAGAGGCCATCAGAAAATCTCTGGAGTATCTAGCAACCGCTCCACCTCCACCGCCTGAGAACAATCAACAACAGTACAACAACCAGCAACTCAACAATCAGCAACAATAAATAAAAAAAATCATAAGCTATTTACTGACAAACATAAGCTGAACCTCAACTGATTTAACTTGGTGAGCTGTAATCATTCATTCAACTAGCTTCAGCAAATTCATAGTTAATTATGAAATTACTTACATTTTCTTTCTTTTGCTGATTAAACATGACACGAACCTACTTTCAATATGGTATGTTTACGAGAGTCATAAAACAAACAACGAACTTGAATTATATTAATAGCCGATATTCACGTATGGTAATCAGCTCCATCATCGATTGATATGATAGAATAAATTTGGGACAAAATATGAGTAACTATTTTATTTATATGTTAAGCTTAAAATAAGACCAAGAAGCACATGTGATATGTTATTTTAAGTTAAATCAAAATATGTAATTTGTATCAAAATCTTTATGCTTTGTCAAACTTGAATTCTGTGGACATTTGACATTTGATATCTATAGAATTATGTATATCTTTTATATTTATAAATAAATTTTGTATATAAATCGTGTGATTCTAAATTTCTTTGAATGTATTCCCTCAATATTCCAATTGATTACAACAGCATCCCATACAAGTGAATAGATTAAATGTAAAGTAAGTTGAAAGGGATTATTAAGCTTATTTTCCTTCAAAGGTTAATCTCCTTCCTAAAGTTATATTGTATATGTTAATTAATGAACCAACAATTTTATTGAATTGTTATATATCATTACGATAAGATGTGTTATGTGTTTGTGTTTGTGTTAGTGTTTGTGTGTGTGTGTGTGTGTGTGTGTGTACGTACATGGAATAGTCTCAGGATGTCGATTTACAAACGGTATTTACACCAACACACTTTTCTTTGATATCGTTTGACATCAAGTACAGCCGACTGTCGAAAATCCGAAATACAAAGGACTGCAAGAAAACCTTCGAATTATCGAGACTTCGAGGTATCAAGAAGTTTGAATGATCAAAAGGAAAGATAAACAAAATCGAATTATTAAGAGTTTTTCTTATATTTTTGAGAAGATGTATGAGCCTACATAAATTTTATATATAAATAGCCTTGTGTAAACAATACTACAATGAAAATTTTGGATTATAAAGAGGAGAAGTGGTCTATTCCCCGGAAAGTATATACAATTTGACTTACCTCTAAGAATCAGTAAATATACAAAACAAAGTGTTAAATTGCAAACATTAAATAAAAAAATCAATATAATCGACGAAGTATTTTTGAATCAAGTTTTAATATTATAATATCATTTTCATAATAGAAGCATTCTTAGACGATATCCGCAAAGAATAAAGGAAGTAATATTAAAAAAATTATAAAAATAAAATAAATTAAAAATTGTCTAATTTTATTTTGGCAATTAAATTATTGCATTAATATTTGTTCGGTAATACAATCAACTACCAACCTATATCACTCACAAGTGTTTTTTCTAAGCTCTACGAGAGAATGATCTTAGCCCGGTTGCAGATATATCTTGATAGAGAAAACAAGATGTCATCAAAGCAAGCAGGTTTCCGGAAGCACCGATGTACAACTGAGCAGGTGGCTTGTTTTAGTGAGGGTGTAAAAGACGGATTCCAACGCAAACAACATACTCTTGCAGTATATGTTGATTTTAAAGCTGCTTTTGACAGAGTCTGCCGGAAAGTACTTCTGAATAAACTCCTAAAAATGAACATCAGTGGAAAAATGTACTGAGCTATACGTTCCTTCTTGGACCAGAGGTTTCTCAGAGCAAGATGGCTGGTGTTCAGGCTTCAGAACTTTTAGTCAAGGATTTCCACAAGGATCTGTTTTAAGCCCCACACTCTTTAATATAATGATTGATGACTTGATGGCTGTACTCGAGGGAATACCCGGAATATCTGCTCTACTGTTTGCTGATGATCTACTAGTATATGCGACTAGTAGCAACATAACAGCACTCGAAGCAGCAAGTAATGAGGCAATGGCAAGACTTTTTACCTGGGCCAAGTGTAATGAAATGGAAGTAAATACGCAGAAAACTGAATTCCAACTGTTCACCTTATCAACAAAAGGGTGTGAGTTGGAAATCATCTCACCCTTACCAAGAACCTATGCAGGCAAATATCTGGGAGTTAGGTTAGATACAAAAATGATCTGGAACAGACAAATTGAAGAGATGGTGGAAAAGGGGGAAAACGGGCTAAAACTTCTGAAACGCCTTGGAGGAAAGACATGGGGGGGCACCCAGGATGTGATGGGTCTTGCATATAAAACCTATGTACGCCTAGTACTGGAATACGGTTCTGAAGTCATCTGTACTGCGGCTGATGCATCCCTGAAAAGATTAGACGACCAGCAGAACAAAGCTCTGCGTTTGATTTTGGGTGCACCGCGCACAACCCCTGTTGTAGCTATGGAACTGCAGACCACAGTAGAACCTCTATCGAAACGGCGTGAGCGAGCTGCAATGTGCCTTCACGAGCAAATGAAAAGAATAGACCAAGAGTTTTGAAAAAAATACAAAATTCTCTCTCAACGGCTCAAGAAACATAAATCCTTCATGCTGAAGGCGATGGCACTACTTGAAGAAAGAGGGCTTGACTGCGAAGAAAGGGAACCATTTATACATCCACAGTTACCAATTCACAATCACGCATTCAATGCAGAACTGCAACTCCTTCATAAAGTGGACAAGAAAAAAACACCTGAATACGAGTTAAAAGCATTAGCATTAGAAACCATAGCTCAAAAGTACCCTCCTCAAGATTGGTTCCATATCTATACCGACGGATCAGTTGAATCAGCCGTTAAAAATGCTGGAGCAGGGGTTTACTCAAGAGAATTCCAAATCAGCGCTGCGGTGGGAAAAGATGGAACAAATTTCGACGGTGAGATAGCAGCGATCCTCATTGCCTTAAGAACATTGTCTAGAAGGCGGGATCAGAGCGCTGTTCTCTTCATCGACTCCCAAGCAGCCATCCTTGCTGTCACAAGCACGAATGAATGTTTATCGAGTGCTATATTGGAATGTAAATCCCTCCTCTCTAACCTGACACACCGAGGCACCAATGTGGTCCTACAGTGGATCTCCAGCCATTGTGGGATTCCGGGTAACGTTGAGGCTGATATTCTTGCCAAGCGAGGAACAGATTTGCCTCAGCCGATACATCCAAAACATTACGACTCAATACGGCGAATGGTGAAGATGGTAGTGAAGGAGGAAATAAGAAAGGTACATTTCGGCAAAGTGGAAGGGAAGCGTTACGAGTGGTTGAAGAATAATCCGATTCCAGCTGAGCTGCCGAGAAGAGATGCAGTTGCCTGCTTCCGCCTGGCCACTGGTCACGACTATCTGCAGAGTCATCTCTACAAGATAGGCGTCGCTGAGGATCCTACCTGTAAACTGTGTCATCTAGGAACAATGGATGCAGACCATCTAGTTGCATGTCCTGCCTTGAGGGACATAAGAGACAAAATATTTTCAAATATACATACCAGAAAGTCTAAATTATACTGGGCAGCAAGATGTCGGATGGCCAAATGACCAACGACTGGCATAAGAAAAAAAAAAAGGTAATACAATCAATATAATGTATCAAAAACGTTATTAAAGCACTATACCTGCCATTTATGAGTACTGAATGATGTGGCAGAGGCCTGTAGACACCCACGCCAGTATCACATTTCTGCCGATTAAGTGCATTTTCTACAGAACCACTTAAAATATTTTAAAATGTTATCAGTGTTTTAGAAAGACAAATATATTCTCCAGATGTTTTATTTCAAGTCAATCTCTGTTATTGTTGCCCGTTTAATTACAAACGACGCTTGATTTTCAACTTGCAATTTTTTGTTTTTTAAAAATTGACTTAACTGGTTTGTTATTGCCTAAAACAACTATTTTTTAATATTGTTTCATCTTTTATCATTTTCTGACTATTCTGTTTTAATAAAAGGTGAACTATGACGATATTAAACCAAATGCTGATTCTCAGTGACCAAAAAATTAACTCCAGTCAAAGTCGGCTATCCGCCATCTTTGGACGCCATTTTGGTGCAGTGCGTTAACTTCATGGGAACGTTGGTTTTTTTTTTTTAATAAATAGTTATAAGGAACATAACGATATGCAATTTATAGGAGTATGGGAGGGGAAGGGGGGAGGAGAGCACGATAAGGGTCTGGCCCACAGACTATAAGTGCTATCTAATAATCACACCACGGGTAAACAAAGTTTTGGTATCATACTGTCGAAAAAAAAGTACATGAATAAAAGAAATTTAACTAAACAAAAAGCCGAAAGTAAACTATAACATAATAATAAAGTATAGGACGTGATTAATGATTAGGAAGAAAGTAGTATTGATACACTAGTTTATATCATATTCTATACAAATATGGTGTAGTATATAAAATAACAGAAAAGTTCATTATTTTTTGTTTTCCTGGAATCCATAACAACAAAACCTATTTACAGTCCTAAAATGAAATAAACAATTAGAACAATGTTGCTTCCTAAAATTTTCAAACAAATTCTACAACATATGTAAGTTTAAAAAACAATAAAAAATAACATAATTTCAACTAAATTAAAAAAAAAATAGAAATTTCTTATACTAGTTTCATAAACTCCTTTGGACACTGTACAAAATCTCAATGGCTGCAGATACCGAAAAATGCACAAGAGGCGATGTTGCGTGCGAATTACACAAGCTGATAGAAAAACTGGAAAAATCGTAAGTACAAATAAAATATATATCGTATAGATGGTTTGTAGGGTCACTGTGCGCCGTTCAACTCAATATTCCAAATTAAGTCAAACGCCACAATACAGAACTATAAAATTTCTCAGTCCACAAAAATGAAATTATTATAATTTGGTGTTAACACAGCCCATATTCTAAAAGAAAAAAGTTATATTATTTATTTATTTTTTTTAATGACCTATCTATGATCGTGTTGATGATTTTGTATACTATTGTATATGTTGATAAATGATATTATATAAGTTACTAAAATAAATAATTTTTTTTAAACGTTGGTACCGAATGTGATCGAAATGAAGTATGGCACATATGGTAGATCGTAGATGTTTAATATAATTAATTATTAGCCAATGAATCCTACACCTACACTCGTATAAAATTTCTGCTCGTAAATTCATACATGATCCATGGGAACTTAACATTATTTATTCGATCCTAGCCTTCATAACATATCTTTTCTTCCAAATTATTTAAAAAAATCATGATAAATAACGACCATCATATCTATAAAAAAAATTATTTATTTTATTTTTAATATAAGAGCTATGTTTGCGAATATCCATGTATATATGTTTATAAATTATTGCTTAGAGCACATCATCAAGAATGTTACCCAAAACGTATCTACCCGGAGTGCCCTCCAAGCCACCCTCCCGATCCTATCGTCATACCCCATCCACTGGTAAAGAATCTGAATATTCTCAACCCTCCTAAAGCTCTGTGGCAGAATGTTAAGGTTACACTCGATGGAAGATTGGCAGAAGTGTACGAGCCGAGAGAATACTA